GGGAATCCGGCTATCTCTTGCCTTTGGTCTTTTGTGGTTTTTTTCCTATTACATCCATCTCTATTATTATACCCAGCGAAGCGACGCACCGCCATGAAACATTTTCCTTGCATCCAAACAACCCATCAACAACATTCACTCACTCATCCACTTTTCTCCTTTCTTATCTTCACTAAAACAAGGAAACAAAAGAAAAAAAAAACAAAGCTGGCTTTGATTCTCATTCGATCTCACATTTATCAAAATCAACCCAAACAAACTACTCGACACATTCGCTTCTCCACGTCTAGGTTCACTTAATTCCTACCCGTCCTCATCCCGTCCCTTTTGTCTCCTTACCCCCCATTTTTCATTTTCCCCCGGCGCACTCTCAGCGTACATAGCATCCCATCGCTAGGTAGGCATGCAGGCAGGCAAGCATGTAGCTAACCCCCTTCCCCCTTCACACCCCTAGCCTCAGCGCCTTTTCTGAGACTCTTCTACACGATCCCAAGATTTATGCCAATATTGTTTTTTTCTTGACCTTATTTGATTTCCATTATTATTTCTACGGCGTTGTTTCTTGCAAATGGTTAGGATACTATAAGAGTAGTGCATAATACCAGGTCAATTCCCCCTTTTCATCTCTTTCTCTTCACTAGTAGGCTTTGTTGGTAGGATATACTAGTGTCCCAGACCATGTGCAGGGTAGGTAGCTAGCTATGTGAGCCCCTGGCGTACGTCACTGTAATGTCCTTTTTGCTAGTAGATACAACCGATATCTAGTCACTGTTTAGTTCTCTCCTAGTTTGAATCCTATCATCTCATAACCAGTAAGGTATGGCGATAGACGGCTAGCTATGCATATTGCAACAACTAGTTTTCGCAACCCGTTTCTTGAGAAAAGAACGAAAAAAGGGGGGACTACCAGCTGAACGCTATGAACCGTCTCAATTTCCGGTCTCATTGCTCAGCGAGGGGCTTGTGTATTTGTGTAGCGATTACATATCTTGAAGATTGGCCATACCCTTGCAAGTTGCATTCACGGCTGGTATGACGGGAGAGGATTGCCAGTTTGCTCCTCATTCCGGTGATGTAATACAACGTAGCTTGGGGTAACGATGATTCCTACAAGTGTACACCTGTGATACCATCAACAGCACTCCGCCCTTTGGTCCGTTGATCATCATCTACAAATTGGTCTTCTGTGACCCTCTTCCTTCTGTAACTTGGTCCAGGTGATAGAGGAAGAGGGGGCCAGTATCACGGCAGGTTTGCTGTTCAAAGTCACATATATACCATGCAATTTTTTCGCGTTATACTGCATCTCTTAATGAGGAGAATGGTGCATTAGAGACGGAATCAAAAATGGTACGACGGTGACACTTGCAGAACACGGGCTTTGCCCGGCTTGTGCTCCTGTGGTAGCAGATGTAACGTGCAACGAGAAACAATGATATGCAAAAATACACAGCTGGTTAATGGTCTGCTTTTTCGGGTAACTAACTATTTGCTGTTGTTTAGTCCGCCGATTCAACGACCCCTAGACTTTGCATCCGCACTAGGTTGCAGAACAGTCCCTTTTTGTTCAGGAGCTGGGAGTACGTTCCTTGCTCAACTACCTTGCCATGATCTAGCACACATATCAGATCCGCATTTTGGATGGTACTTAGTCGATGGGCAATGGCAATGGTAGTTCGCTCCTTTGTAGCATTGTCAAGAGCGTCTTGAACCACCTTTTCAGACTCCGAGTCTAGCGCAGATGTGGCTTCGTCAAGAAGCAGAATCTGAGTATTCCGAAGTAAGGCCCTGGCGATTGAGAGCCTCTGTTTCTGGCCTCCACTGAGCATAGTTCCCCCAGAACCAACTAGGGTTGTAAACCCATCACTGGGGTTATTCGTTAGCGTAGAAGACAATTGAAGTTGACCTAAGATACTCACGGAAGAGACGAGATAAACTCGTAGATATTTGCTCCCTTGCACACTTGCACTAGCTCATCTTCTTCCACCTCCCTCTCGGTGCCTAAAAGGATGTTATCCCTGATCGACCCATCATACAAGGTAGGCTCTTGGCTAACAAGAGATATTAAGCTTCTGTAGTCGTTGATGTTGAGCTGGGATATATCATTTCCATCCACAAAGATTTTACCCTCAGTTGGGTCAAAAAACCTCTCTAAGAGGCGAATCACAGTGCTTTTACCGCTGCCGCTGGGCCCAACCAATGCCACATATTGGCCACGACGAATACTAAGATTGAACTTGTCAAGAACTAGTCGTTCAGGCCGATTAGGATACCGGAAACTGACATCAACAATATCAAGCTGTCCAGCACTTTCAGCAATGCGCTGGCCTGAGTTATCCCAAGTATCGATTTTAGGCTTTAATTCGAAGAGCTTCTTCACACGCTGACCAGCATGTAGCGCTTTGCTCATGTCAGGGGCAAAATTAAAAATAGCCCCTGCAATCTGTGCCCCTGAAATTAAGGCGACAAAGCATATGAAGAACTGGAGCGTATTGTACTCATGATTTGCCAGCAGTGTTCCACCGTACCAGAATGCAAGTGCCATGCAGAAAAATGTAAAGGACTGCGATGCAGCGTAAAGTGTAGAAGTTATGAAAATGAACCTCATTGTTTTCGCTGCCCGTTGGGTCAGAATCTGGCTATATTCGTCAAGCACATGGTTTTCAAGCGTCAGGGAGGCAACAGATCTGATAACCGTGATTATTTCACTAGCATACATGGCACCTTCTTGATGAGTTGTTCGCATCTGGCCGTCAAAGAGCGAGAGAACCCTGAGTCGAATATAGCCAGAACCCGTCATGATTGGAATTGTTACGGCACAGACAAGGGCAAGCTTCCAGCCAATTGCTAGTGACAAAATGACTCCCCCTGTAATGGTGGCGATGAATGTCAAACAGGCTCCAATTACTGCACCACTGAGGCCTGCGAGCTCGGTTGGCGCGGTAGAGAGGAAGGCGGATAAACCTCCTGGTGAATTATCCTTTTGGTCAAAGAAAGCCATGTCCTGCCGAAGAATGGATCTGAACATTTGGTATCTGCCTTTATGAGATAGTCGTTCGGTGGAATAGGAGAAGCATGCTCCCTGACCGAGCCATGCGATTGAGTTGACAATCGCAATCATTAGAAACATGAGACACCAGAAGTTGATTTCATGTCGGAGCTGGGTATATTGAGATTCTGGAAAAGAAACGGCATTGATCGACTTTGCAAAGAAAACGGATTGCCTGTTGGTATATACCTCTGTTATCACCAAGGTGCTCGCGTTTAGGGTTGGTAGCAAGTTGACCGCAAATCACAGGTATCATAAACTTACACTGGGATCACACAGCCGGCGATGAAACAGAGGAAAACGCCAATAAGAATCACCAGGATTTCCTCCCTGTTAAGCTGTGTTACAACTTGAAAATACGTCTTGAAGGTTGGGTTCTGCTCTGCTTGAGTATCTTGCTGATTTCTGTCGTAGACGCTGTCTTCATGGCATGGACTCTCTTTGATGCTGGTTAAATCCGAGGCTGTCATAAAGGGCTCTCCTGTTTGCTCTTTCTTTAAAATGTGCATATCCTCTGCCTCTTCCACAGAATGCTCAAGAGGGATGTCCATCTGCTGTGCCTTTACCAAAGTGGAGTACATCCCGCTTTTCTTCATAAGTTCATCGTGTTGCCCCTGTTCAACCACAGAGCCATTTGACATGACGATGATGTTATCAGCATTGCGGATAGTTGATAGACGATGAGCAACCACAATCGTCGTACGGTTTTGCGCCGCCGATTCCAATGCCTCTTGAACTGCTCTTTCTGACTTGACATCCAAGGCAGATGTAGCTTCATCCAGCAGTAGAATCTTCGGGTTAGCGATAACTGCTCTTGCTATACAAATGCGCTGCCTTTGACCACCAGAAAGTTGAAGTCCCTTGGTGCCGACTTCAGTTTGGTACCCCTGGGGTAGAGAAATGATGAAGTCATGCGCATTTGCAACTTTGGCAGCAGAATACACGAGCTCTCGTGTTTCTTGCTCTGGTCTTGATAGCCCAGGATCAGGCAAGCCGAGCAGAATATTTTCTAAAATACTCCTGTTAAACAGGACAGGTTCCTGGACAACGTACGAAATTTGTTGTCTAAGCCAGTTCAGGTTCAAGTCGGCTATTTTGTGTCCGTCTAAAGCTACAATTTTGGGATGTAGGATCAGTATCAACCGCCTGTTTGAGTTCACTGAAGAACAATCTTACTTATGTTTCCGCCAGTAGGTTCGTAAAAGCGTTCAACCAGCCCAATGATGCTACTCTTTCCACATCCTGATGCACCCACCAAGGCAGTGGTTTTATTCGCTGGAAATTTTAAGCTTACTGTATTCAGGACCTGCACATGCTGCCTGGATGGGTATACTAAGCTAACATTTTGCAGCTCAATATCGCCTTGAACTTTCGGCAGCTGGTGACCAGTTGTAGAGAATGGATCTAATGGCGATTGGCGAGCAATTGCTTTGAGAATCGTTCCTGCATGCGAGATGCTACTAATGAAGGCTTCACCGCTGGGGGCAACTCTCCCAACCGCAAACGCGCCAATAATTGTCGCCAGGACGATAGTAACGACAGCAGATGCGGTTGACTCACCACTAACAATATAGCGAGAGCCTTGCCAGAATGCCAATGCATAGGCAAGATACGGCAGCGCGTTGATGGCTCCTATCATAAACGAGACTGATAACCGCATCTTCAATCCCCACTTCTCTGCAGTACTTAGATAGTACTGGTAGCGTTTAGCCATAGCGGCCTGGATCCCAAAGGCAGAAACATGCTGGATAGAGCCAAATGTTTCCTCTGCAGCTGATGCTCCCTTGGCTAGGGACGCAGAATTTTTTCTGCTATACTTTAACGCAAATGTCGCTCCCAGAAACTCTGCTCCTCCTAGAAGGATAGAAATTGAAAGGAGAATTAAGGCAAGTTTCCAGTTGTTGACAAAGGAGATAATAATAGCTGATAAAAATGTCGCAATAGCCGTCAGAAATATTGAGACTTTACTCGAGATTCCCTCCTGAACAACATTCATATCTCCGGATATTCTTGTTGTAACCTCGCCCGGGCCAAGGGTATCAAAAAACCCGATGTTCTGCCGGATAATGGCTTTGAGATAGGCCTGCCGTAGACTCCGCGTAATTCGTTCCCCTGAATAATAGAATCCCACGGTTGCGATGTATATAAGGACGAATTCCGCAACTCCAAGATACACATAGTAGAGCGTAAACTTAGACACGCTGGAGGATAACTGAGAACTCTCTTCCATTCCATGTGCATGCTTTTGGAACGAACCAACTAGAAGGCCGTAAATGACTGTAAGAAGAGGATTCAACGCGCCTGCAATGATAGCAGATAGGGTGCTTATAGCAATCAAAGCTATATCTAAGGGCCGAGCATACGCGAGCACAGTAGAATTCTTCATTTGGACGGCTGGAAGCCCATTAAGCTGGCGCTGAAGAACCTCTCTGGCAGACTCATCGTCGTCAACAGCAGAGGGTCGACTGCTTGACGAGAGTTGCTCCATGATGTCTGGCATTTATCCAGCGCCGCTCCTCACGCTGAGCGTCCATCTCTTCCTCCCTTCAATCAGCAACCGACTTCTCATAAATATTCATACCAAAATCGTTATGACTCATCTCCAGCATAGCGTTAACATGGTTAAGCAGTTGTATGAATCCTTCGACGATCGATGGATCCAGTGTTTGATATTTTGGTCGCGCTGAATACGGTATTTTATTCCGTCAATACACACCCATGCCCGTATCCATGCTTACTAGTGAAAGTTTATTTAGGGCTTTAGTTTAGGGTTCCGCACCCGGCCCGCTCGAGCCCATCTTGTGGCCATGCTTGTTTGGATGTTGGACGTCAGCTTTACGCAATCTTCAGAGGTTCAATATTGAGTACTCCGCTATACATACTCCGTGCCTCTCATACAATCATTTAATTTGCCTTTTACTTTTGTACACAGTTTATAATTGACGTCCATGGATCAACTGGAGATCCTGACTTTCAAGATCATGTATCCAATAAACCCTCGACAATCGACAATATTGCATCATACCTTTAACTCAGCGAGGTGGAAGGTTTCATATGAAATGCAGCAAAATCCCTTCTGTGGCAATTCAAGACAATTACTAATCCTGTAGTAGATTTTTGCTTCGGAAGTTACGACGTAGATCATCATCACTGAGAAACCACACGAGCTAGCGTATTCCCAATTTTGGGAAGGATCTTGTACACACATAAAAGCCCTTTACAAGGTCTTAACTATGTGTTAGGAATATATGCACCTTAAACTGTGTAAGTGCAGGGCTCAGCTAAGGACCAAGTTTGGCTAATATGACCAAGAGCTTTGTTAGCTGCCTTGTACAACCCATTGCCGGGAGCTTGACAATAGATATAAGGACCAATTACCTCCTAGGAAAGAGCAAGTGTCTACAGCCAGCTTTGCCACAAAATATAATATGTATATTTCACATTATAGAGATCAACAGCTATATACATGAAGTCCTAACTCTGTAGCTTATGATCATAGAGGGGTTGGAAATGTGGAATTATAAAATTGGTGGTCAAAGGAATGAATCTATCAACTGGCCTGTCGCTGTCAAGTCATAACCTCACCAATGCCACGGCCCTTGTCAAAAGCCGAGTTCCATGTCAGTCGAAATAAGCTTGCCGTTGCTTGGCCTTTTCTACAAGCTATATCGAACAGCCTATGGTTCTCAAAGACCTAGAAATACACGCTTTACCTTACTTCTTCTCAGCAACGAGGTAAACTGCATGATAAAACTTTACTGTACTTTTCACTCAGTAAAGGTAATAAAAAGGTGAGTCTGTTCCCCTAGGAATACTGCTTGATTAAATAATGATGCAAATGTTGCAAATTGCCTTTAACTATGAAATGGCCGTACTACAAGTGTCGCAAGGGCCCGAAGCTGTCGTACGTTGGTGCTTGTGGTATATAGACGTGTGATACCTCCTTACTAAAACAGAATTGGACAAGGGTAACAAACTACGGGATTATCACGTTGGATCAACTTTAATCTCTTCAGCAGGCCTGCATATTAACAGCAGTTCTATATGGAACGTAATAGCATTTGTAAGTATAGTGACTGTTATGAGCAACTTGAAGGACGTGAGTACAGATTAGTTATAAGGGTGAACCTTTCAATAAAAACCCAGCTTATACATAGCCTGCCTGATAAAATTAAGGGTTATTCCTTCTACTGAAAGGCTTTCAAGCTTTGTTAACCGACTTGCGCTTGCATAATGTCAAGCTGAAAGCTCCAAGATTGATCTTCGAGAAAACTCAGTTATTTGCTTTTACAAGGCTAAGAACTACTCTGTTAGTATTGGACAATACCCAGATCCCCACACTCGCGGTGACCCAGATAATATCATAGCAGTGTGTGATACTAGCCTGCACGTTGCTGCCAGTGTGTTTAATTCCGTCGACCGAAGGATGATCACTTCAGCTGATAGAAAAATACAATAACTGATATTCCGGCCGAGACACCTCGGGTTGACATCACGTAGTCAGTTGGCCATGAATTGAGATCTAGACATATTCAGAGCTCATGCTCAATAGTTAGCAGAGCATAGATGTAACTATTGTTCCTCGAACGATTATTGGTCGTAACTAGGGCCGAGCTAGCCGCCTGGGCGCGAAATCCAGATCACCTGACCTCTCAGCCGGGACCCATCTGTAACCTCGCTTATTTGTGACATGGAGAAGTTTGACCGACAACCAACGCCGAAGGAACACCGTTTGGCAGCATCGATATTGAATCTACTTTGAGCGCATGTTGGACACCATTCGTGTGATACCATCGGAAAATGATCTGCTTCAGGGCTGGTTTGTTTTGGGGTCGCGTTGTCAACCACACGCGTCGGTCAAGATACCCAGCCATGCACTTTTCAAAGCAAAGACAGGAAGGACTGTGTGGCTCCTTTCATATCTTTGGGAATGGCATATTGGGTATTATCATTTTGGTAGGATTACAGCGGGCGCTTATACCCGTTAACTGATTATAGTAACCCGGTTACGCAGAGACACAAGCATGGCCGGAGAGCGAAAATTGATTTATATCCTGGCATGATTGCAACAGTAAGTGGAACATCGGGTTCAGAAACCCGATAAATGCACTGTTCAAGAATGGTGGAACCCTTTACTTTTATTTTCATTTTATTCTATTTTTATTTATTTATTTCCTTTTCTGTTCGATGGAACGGCTGCGCAATGTCACCGATTGCAAAGCCCAGGTGATACCCTAGAAAAGGGCCAAAGAGCAACCAGGAAAATCGGACATATGGAAATGCATTCATTTTGGCGCCGTGACATGAGCTCGAGACGGGTCGGTCAACTTATTTCTCTTATAAAGACGCCTGGGGCCACTTCCGGCCGCGAGCCCCTCCTATATATTTGGGTTGGTTGACCAAACTATAGTCAGTGGAAAGGAAAAATGGCATAGGAAATCTTTTATCGACCATCCTGGCTTCATCTTACCGTGCCTATATTTAAATCCAATAGTACGAGGTAGATATCATGCCACCTCTTTCGATCCTGCAATTCCAAAACGACTTGCCATCCCATCCGGAGTTGCACCCTTTGGCCAACTACGACTTTCTGATCGCCCCAGGGGCCGAGTTTACATCTGCCTCGGAAAAGACGCAGTCCGTTGATCCCTTAGATTCTCAAATTGAGAGCCAGATACAATTGTTATGGGCTCGAGTACTTGGACTCAGCCCTGATACTATTGAGGAGCATGACGACTTTTTTCAACGCGGTGGCTCGGCCTCCGATGCAATACAGCTGAGCCAAAAAATATGTGAACGTGGGATTTTATTAACCGTGAGAGATGTTTTTCAAAGGCCACGATTAACAGACCTGGTCGCTCGAGCTCGCTTGCTTGTCAATTCATCCAATCATGAACTTGTTCCGCCGTTCTCAATACTTAAACTGTCCTTGGATACGCAAAAAGTTCGTACCCATGCATCGTACCTCTGCAATGTCAAGGAATCCCACGTGTTAGACGTACTTCCATGTACGCCTTTACAAGAGGGAATGCTTGCCCTAACTCGCAACAATTTCAGCGAGTACGTACAACAATCTATCTATAGGATAGACCGGGACATTGATATCAGGCGGTTCAAGCGGGTTTGGGATCAAGTGGTAGCGATGAATCCTATCCTACGTACACGGATTGTCAGTTTACCGAACTACGGGGTTGTCCAAGTTGTCCTTGACGAAGAAGTGCAATGGATTTTCGAATCGACCCTTGACCAATTCCGACAGCATGCCACACATGGAGAGCTTCGTATGGGGCTTGGTGAGCCTTTGATTCGGTTTGGTATAATCGGTGAAAACTACCAAGAAGCTACCTACTACTTCACATGGGAAATGCATCACGCCCTATATGACGGGTGGTCTATTCCTTTAATATTAAGTGACGTCGAACATGCATACTACCAAGAAAGCGGGCCCGAGCTATTAGCCATGGGGCCATATATCAAATATATTCACAACATCGACGAAATTGCTGCTCACCGCTTCTGGGCAGACCAATTTGCGGGAATTCGAGGCACTGGGTTTCCATGGATAGGTTTGTCAGGCTATGTAGATCCAGCCCCAGATGTCCTAACCACTATCATGTCGCACCATGTGTCTGAACTCGATTGGGGCCGGAGTGATTTCACAGCTGCCACAATTGTCCGTGCTGCTTGGGCATTAGTACTGGCCATTCGCGCCGACGCTAATGAAGCATTATTTGGTGTGACAGTAACAGGTCGCCAGGCAGCAGTTCCAGGAATTGAACATATGGCGGGTCCTGCCATTGCTACGGTCCCCGTTAGGGTAAAGGTGGACTGGAAAGGTAATGCTTACCAGTTATTGGAGGCGGTGCATCGCCAAATAGCCGATATGATTCCCTTTGAACAAACCGGCTTGCAGAATATCCGCCATATCAGTGAGGATGCCGCCACCGCCTGCCGTTTCCGTTCACTTCTTGTCATTCACAACCATTCGCCGGATGATAGTCAGCGCCCAGGGCGGCCTTTCATTAACGAACTTACTCGTCCGTCAATTGGGCCTCGACCATGTGATGGCAGATATGCGATCGATATTGACTGCAGACTAGCTAGCGATGGGATCTACGCAAAGATGGAATTTGACACACGCCTCTTCCCTAATTCGGAAATGACCTATGTCATTGAAGACTTTGAGAAGACTCTACGGTTCTTGGTTGGTAATGTCAATGGACGGGAAAGGCTCGCAGACGCAATTGCATCAATATCCTCGTTTTCTTCGGGGGGTTTAGCCGATGTGCTGAAGTGGAACGCACAGGTACCCGATCCTGTTTGCGAATGTGTTCATACCATGATTGAAAACAAGGCTTTTGAGTGCCCTAATTTCCTAGCGATTGATGCATGGGATGGTAGCCTGAAATATCAACAGTTACTAGAGATATCCTCCATGTTTACATTTCAACTTACAGAGATAGGAATTATGGGAGCCATAGTACCACTATTGTTTGAGAAGTCACTCTGGATGCCTGTGGCAGCTCTGGCTGTCGTGAAAGCTGGTGGAATCTTAGTTGCTCTGGACACAAAGCAACCATATGAGCGGTTAGCCCAGATAGTGTCTCAGACGACTTCACCGGTGTTGGTATGCTCCGAACAAAATGCATCACTGGCCCAGATGCTTGGGCTTAAGCAATTTGTAGTCGGATGGAGCCGTTATCGTTCAATTCCCAGTGGTAAGCCGAAAGCCTCAGGATTACCGGTAATTCGCCCCGAGAACCTCCTTTACATAGTCTTCACTTCTGGCAGTACTGGAATCCCAAAGGGGGTTCGCATAACCCACCAAAATCTCTGTACTGCTATTTCCCACCAACGTGAGGCTCTAGGATACAATGATACATCACGGGTGGTTGATTTTGCTTCATACGCGTTTGATGTTACTTGGTCCAACATCTTCTATTCATTGACCGCAGGAGCATGTCTGTGTATACCCTCCCCAGCCGAACGTGAAAACCACTTGGCCGAATCTTTACGAAAATACGATATTAATTTAATGGACTCTACACCATCACTTGCTCGGGTCCTAGGAAAAGATGTTCTATCAAACTTGACTACGCTGATTATTGGGGGAGAGGTGATATTACCAAGCGACGCATTGCTAGCGGGAGAGCATACCCAGATTATCAATGCGTATAGCCCAGCAGAGTGTACTCCAACAGCCCTCATTTCCCCTCTGGATGCAACAACTGGAGTTAAGATTGGCCGTGGTTTTGGGGTGGTCACCTGGATCGTGGAAGAGGACAACCCACAGCAACTAGCCTCAGTTGGCACAGTCGGTGAGCTATGGCTCGAAGGGCCTCTTGTGGGAGATGGATACCTTGATGATGCTGAGAAGACTGCAGCCGTTTTTATTCAAGACCCTGTCTGGCTGGTACAGAAGACCGGACGCCGTGGGCGTGTGTACCGCACTGGCGATTTAGTCCGATATGAAGCAGATGGAGATATTGTTTTTATAGGCCGAAAAGATGACCAGGTAAAAATCCGAGGCCAGCGTGTTGAACTAGGCGAAATTGAAAGTGTTATTCGTCGGACTATTAAGCAACCTGCACTCCAAGTTGTCGTTGAGGCGGTCCAACAGGCTCCCGGAACCAGCAACCTTACACTGGTGGGTTTTCTAGCCCTCCCTAGATCTCAAGATATGGATGAAGACTCGCATAATACTGCAGTGCAGCGAATAGCTGAGGGGCTTACTGGTCAATTGGAACAGCTGCTTCCCTCATACATGGTTCCTGCTATGTACTTCCCTCTATGGGAAATTCCAATGGTGACTAATGGCAAAACGGACCGGAAGCGCCTACGTGCGATGGGTAGAACCCTGCTCTCGCAAGCTAAGCCATCTGCTGTTGAGGGTAAAGCAAAGGGCAAAGAAGCGGGCGACAACGACATAGAGCCATTGAGTGAAACCCAAACAGTTTTACGGAATACGTGGATGTCTGTTCTCAACTTATCACAACAGGAGGCATCAATTGATGCAACATTCTCACGGCTTGGGGGTGATTCTATATCAGCTATGCAAATTGTTTCTCAGTGTCGAATGCATAATATTCATTTAACAGTAAGTGATATATTGCTATCACGAACAATCCGGAATCTAGCAAAGGTTTGCCAGGTGGCGCCCCAAGGCAATTTATCAGCTCCGAGACTTGGGGAAGACTCAACAACCCTGTTTGATCTCTCCCCAATTCAATATAACTTTTTCGATACCTACCCAGATGGGCTTAATCATTACAATCAGTTCTTTCTTCTTGATCTAAAAGACACCGTTTCCGGTTCCTCCATTGAGGCTGCTATTCAAGCAATTGTTTTACGTCATGATATGCTACGAGCACGCTTCGAAAAAGATCCGGTAACTCATACCTGGAAGCAAAGAATTTCCAGGTACAGTACAGAGACATTTGTGTTTGCAGAACACACGGTGAAGGATCATGCTTCTGTTGGTATTGAATCTCAGTTTCGACAGGAGAGTATGGATATCCGGAAAGGCCCTGTGTTCGCCTGTGATTTGTTCCATCTACCTAAGGGTAACCAAATGCTCTTATTGTCTGCCCACCACTTGGTAATCGATCTTGTCTCCTGGAGAATTATTTGGGCCGAGTTAGAAGATCACCTTCAATCTGGCAAGCTACGCTCTCTCCAGACAATGTCATTTCAGGCTTGGTGTACACATCAGGCCCGAATAGGGAGCACATTATCACCACTAGCAGTACTCCCTTACGCAATCCCCGAGCCTCAGATGGGCTTTTGGGGTGTCCCCTTGGAGGAAAATACTTATAGCCAATGTAAGTCTGTGGAAGTATCTTTTTCTTCAGACGTAAGCTCCCTGCTCTTCGGGAAGAGTAATGAGAGTCTGCAGACTGAGGGTATCGACCTTATTCTTGGTGCTCTATTTCATGCATTTATTCATACTTTCCCAGAGCGCAGCGCGCCGGCAATTTGGATTGAAGGCCATGGCCGTGAACAGTTTAGTGGGCAGCCGGCAGATGTCTCTGGTACCGTTGGATGGTTTACCTCTATATATCCTTTTGCCATTCCAATTAACCTTAGTCACTCTCTGATTCGAGATGTAGTCCGGCTTGTCAAAGACACGCGACGAAAGGTGCCTGGTAAGGGACAGCAATTTTGGGCGTGCCGGTACAACAGTGAGTCTGGCCGTCTGGCATTCAAGGCTTATGACGCACCTGAACTCGTGCTCAATTTTACGGGTCGATTCCAGCAGCTGGAAAAAGAAGATGGACTGTTCGACCCGTCTTCGCCTTCTGAGTCTAGTGATTCCCTTCAGACGATAAGTGAAGTCTCAAAGGCGGCCCAACGGCCTTCAATTATTGATATAGAGGCTGCCGTGTCTGATGGTGAATTAAAGGTTGAATTCATCTTCCCTAAAACGATACATAATGAGCGTCTCCAAAAGTGGATTCACAACTTTTCGCAGGACCTGGAGTTCCTTTCCCACAGTCTTGGTCAGGCTCCAGCCAGATTCACGTTGAGTGACTTGCCTCTTCTTCCCCTCTCGTACAATGGCCTGGATATCCTCCTTGAACAGGAAATGCCTCGTATGGGTCTCATACCACGACAAATCCGGGATATCTATCCATGCTCACCTTTGCAAGAAGGCATGCTAATAAGTGCAGCCAAGGGGGTTGCATCCTATCACACTCGCACCATATGCCGCTGTGTCTCTTCTGGTGAACCTATTTGCCCTTTACGTCTAGAGTCAGCTTGGAAAGTAGTGGCAAGCAGACATATGGTTCTCTCTTCGATCTTTACCCTTCATCCCGAGGGTATTGGTTTTATCCAACTGGTGCTAGACAATCCACCAGTGAGAGTGATTCAGATGGAAACTGAAAGCAGTGATATGGCTACGGTCTTGAAAAATACAGGACCCCCATCTTTATCCTTGAATGAGCCGCAGCATTCGTTAACTATATGCCAATCGAAAACGTCAAATACTGTATCCTTTAGACTTGACATGAACCATACCATGAACGATGCTCAATCTATGCCAATCCTCTTAGAAGAGCTCGCAGCTACTTATGATGGCTTGGGTCTGCTAGACCCCCCCAGGTTTACAGACATGATTAGATACATTGGCCAAACCCCAAAGGAAAAGATTACAGCCACATGGGCAACCATCTTAGATGGAATCGAGCCTTGCAATTTCCCTACATTATCACCATCCCTAAGAGGAATGATACCCGAAACACTCGATGAGGTAACTAGTCGCACTCCATACTCCAAAGCTCACATCATGGAGTACTGCAAAAAGTCAAATATCCTGTTTTCTGCTTTTCTGCAGGTGGCTTGGGCAATAACCCTATCTCACTATACAGGGATGAAGGAGGTTTGCTTTAGTTATCTCACATCAGGGCGTGATGCCCCAATTGACAGAGTAGAAAAAATGGTTGGTCCGCTAGCTAATCTTCTTATAAGCCGGGTTGATATGGGAGTGCCGGTCAAGGAGGTCTTGCAGGCTACCTCCAATAAGTCAGAACAGAATATGGCAATACAGCATGTGTTTATAGCGGAAGTCCTCCACCGGCTTGGGCTATCTGGACAACGACTTTTCAACACGTCTCTCTCAATTCGGTCTCATGACAAGGAAGAGGCTCACAAGTACAGCATTATGTTCCAAACTTTAGATGATGAGGATGGCCATGAGGTAAGGGGAAGATTCTATGGATTTATGGAGAGTATTTCGCTAACTCAAGACTGGTTATGATTTAGTATGACTTGAGTTTAAACGTCTCAGTAAACAGCAGTGGTTATACCGATCTCTTGCTAGAATACAGACAGCCATACATTACCAGGCAGATGGCTGAAGAAGTCTATGGGGCCCTTGACCAAGCTATTGACTATCTCCTGAGCATAGATATTGACAGTAACAATGGAGAATGCGACTTTCAGGGGGGCAGTACGATCAAGAGCAATTACCAATCTGCCAAATCAGCACCTCTCTTTGACCAGATATTTGTGCGGAAATACGGTGTTGAACGGTCTGCCGCAGACGCCTTTTGGAAGAGCGAATTTTCTAACAGTCATGGTATACACTTTCCCGAACTTAAGCAGATGGTAGCTGCTGAGATTAAACACGATGAGGAAGTACATCTATCTCTGAAAAGACTTGACCTCACTGCAGGGAATGTCTCTGCAGAGGCCATAGTCGAGGCAGCATGGGCCATCTTGACCGCTCACATCTCAAATTCTGATGAAAGCCTGTTTGGGATAGCTAGCCTGCATGACAAAGGGATTGGAAACATACTGCCTGCTCGCATTGCGCTTAATTGGGACGACAGCGTTACTAAGTTCCTCTCGGGAATCCAGCAGAAAATTCGGAGCATGGCGCCCTTCCGGCGTATGCAGTTGGAACATATTTCTACCCTGTCAGATGAAGCCGAAACTGCCTGCAATTTCCAAACTGTGATATCAGTTGACCTCTGCAGAACAGGATGGAATGGAAATCATGAAATGGCTAGCATCACTGACGGTGACGCGAGAAGAAGAGTCTATAAGGGAGGTAACCGTGCAATGATAGTCAAAGTCTGCGAAGGAGAAAGCCATGACATAGAGATTTCTATGAGATTTGATTCCCGCATTGTCAGCATAAACCGAGCCCTCCGTCTCATCCACAGTCTGGAGCACACGATCGAACAATTACTTGACATGAATCTGCGCGAGGACAAGCTGCGTAGCATGACTGTGGCAAGCCAGCGAGATTTGAATGATATTTGGACCTGGAATGCCGAGTTACCGGCCCCAATTGATGGCGTGATACCCGATTTCATTCTTGAGAGAGTCCTTCAACAGCCACACTTTTCAGCTGTCAACGCATGGGATGGAGATTTGAGATATGGTGAACTGCACGAATTGTCGTCTAAGCTTGCGCACCAGCTGCTTGCCAAAGGGGCTGGTAGAGGAAGCATTATTCCCCTTTGTTTCGAAAAATCCAAGTGGATGCCAGTTGCAGCGCTTGCTGTCATGAAAATTGGAGCAGCGTCTGTTGCTATCAACACCTCTTTCCCCGACCAAAGGCTTCGGTCGATTATAGGTCAGGTCTTTACAAGCTCAAGATCCAGGCTTATAATATCATCTGCCTCGAACAAATCCCAGTTTGAACGCCTGGGTGAGTGTGCAGTACATGTGGTAGGGGACGATCTATTTCTGCCTATTGATGCCGAGGTCCGTACCCCTAAGTGGCCTGTCGTACATCCATCCGATCCATTCTATGTTGTGTTTACTTCCGGCACGACAGGGGATGCAAAAGGAGTGGTGGTTACCCATCGGAAATTTTGCCAGTGCGATTGCTTACCAGGGAGAATTTCTCGGCTTTAGTGGTAAACCAAGGGTATTGGATTTCACGTCATATGCCTTTTGATGGGTTTGGCTTAACCTACTAGGGCTCTGACTACAGGCGGGTGCCTCTGTATTCCTTCCCAAGAGGACTTGAGAATGATCTTGGGGGCTGCCTGGAGAAATACCGGGCGACCGTCGTCGACCTGACGCCGTCGGTAGCTCGGATTGTCGAACCCAGAAGCGCCTTTTCCCGATTATCTACTTTGATTTTGGGTGGTGAAGCTATTTTACCCAGCGATCTTGACCTGATTGGCGATGAAACGCAGTTGGCATTGGCCTACGGCCCGGCCGAATGCACACCCACCAGCACTATCTTATATGGGCCTAAGCGCCTGGAGGGAGGGGAGATTGGTCGGGGAGTTGGTGTGTGTACATGGATTGTCGACCTAGAAAACCCAGATGCGCTGGCTGCAGTTGGTGCCCCCGGTGAGCTTTGGATCGAAGGGCCGCTGGTTGGTGAAGGGTACCTCAACGATCCCGAAAAGACGTCTGGAGCCTTCATCAGCGATCCCGTATGGCTTCAACATGGCTCTCCAGACGGTAGACATCCAGGCCGTCGTGGGCGGCTCTACCGCACCGGAGATCTAGTCCAATACCAGGAAGACGGCTCTCTTCTCTTCCTCAGTCGCCGAGACACGCAGATCAAGATCAGGGGTCAGCGTGTCGAGCTGGGGGACCTTGAACATCACATTGGCTCAACTGCGGTCAAATTTATGCAAGAGTGCGGTACCCTGGGAGAAAACGGGATTGTGCAGGTTGTGGCCGAACTGGTTGAGCTTTCTGGCATCGCGGACAAGACTCTTACGGCCTTTATAGCCGTGGATGGCATCAGCAGCAGCGCTCCAGAGAATGAATACGACCGTGTGGTCCAGCAGATGATAAGTGGTGTTCGGAAGCGGATCGAAGATCTACTTCCCCGGTACATGCTTCCGTCAACTTATATACCCGTCAAACGCATCCCCATTGCAGCAACGGGCAAGGCAGATCGACGGGAGTTACGCCGTATGGCTGCATCCCTCTCAATGCAGGAAGTTGAAGCCCTGAGCCAGTCCCTGGCCGAGGAGCGAGCGCCACCGCAAACAGAGAGGGAGTGTGTGATGCAGGGTCTCTGGGCCGAAGTGCTGAAGATCGACGACCAGGATCGTATCGGTGCAAACGACAGCTTCTTCCGCCTCGGCGGCGACTCTATTGCAGCGATGAAGGCTGTAGCATTAGCACGGCGTAGGGGGCTCGAGTTCAGCGTGAGAGACGTCTTCCAGCACCCAGTCCTCCGCGACCTGTGTCTCCGGTGTCATGATCTGGCAGTCTAGGGTATGATATCGGCATGGAACATGAGATGGGGTTTCCTTTCTATTTTAATGACCAAATTGAACATTGTTTTTTTTTTCACGGCTGATATCAAATTGGTTGTTCCTGGTAAGTTATAAAATATGATAGTGTTGAGTCCTCTAGTTATTTATCTGGCCGGTAATTCAAGCATCGAAATTTCATCCATTATAATTAATAGCACGGTAAAGGAGATAAAAGAAATGAAAAAAGGCCTCGATGTAACTCGAGAGCGTAATCTCTTCTCCTTCGCCTTCTCTTTCTTCGTCTTCTGCTGGTGCTGAGCTTTGGCGATGTCGTAGTTTAGCGGGACTAAATGAAGAGGGACAAAAAGCGATTTCGAGTCCACGAGAAATACTTGATATTGACCACTAACAAGCACCAAAAAGGAGGAAAAGATGTCCCTGGCGGAGGAACAAGAGGGATATCATCCCCAGCATCTCGAGCCCAGCGAGTTGGGTACAAAGGAATAGTAAGTCTTTGGCTGTGCTGAAGTACATAACTAGCTTGTGATGGGCAAAGAATCGTGGCTGACGGTGAAACATAGCTGGGAGACGTACTACGACAACTCGCTCGCTCACTTTCTATCCTCTAAGCGGGACGGGAGAAGACGCCGTGATGAGCAGCAGACGGACGGAGATGACGACGAAGACGAAGACCAAGGGGAGGACGACGATTCAGACATAGGGACGTCCTGGTTCAGCGAACACAATGCCCCTCAGAAGGTGCTGGACTTTATGACCTCAGAGAAGTTCCCGCTTGCGCCGGACTACTCGCAGACAGACAGAGAGCCGGACATACTTGACCTGGGGACAGGCAATGGGAGCATGCTGACGCTGTTACGGGAAGAAGGCGGGTTTACAGGGCCCATGGTGGGAGTGGACTATTCGATCAAGAGCATTGAGCTGGCCAGGCAGTTGGCGGGCCAAAGCGACGGTCAGAAAGAAGGAGATGGAGGGATACGGTTCGAGGTATGGGACATTCTTGACCCAAGGCACGAAGAGGACATACGTGGTGGTGTGTTTGGCAAGGAGGTGGACTGGTTCCCGTTCGAGCAGGGCGGGTTTGATATCGTGCTTGACAAGGGCACCTTTGATGCCGTCTCTCTGTCCGCTGAAGGAGGGAGTAGGAGGATATGTGAGAAGTATCCTGGCGTTGCACTCATGTTGGTGAAGAAGGGAGGGTTCTTCATTATTACCAGCTGCAACTGGACGGAGAGCGAGCTGGTCTCATGGTTCACTGCCGGAGACCACGGTGACTGCTTCACGGTGTATGACCGGGTTGAATATCCCAAGTTCCGGTTTGGCGGACAGGAAGGGCAGGGAGTATGTACGATATGCTTCCAGAGGAATAGATAAAAGTGCTTTTATTTTATATCTATATTATTGAGTTATCTAAGTGTGATGATGATGATGATTTACTACCTACTGAGCAGGCCCACGATGCACCATCGAGCTCTGTTCTCTGGTCCTTCGTCCTCTCGAACGGGTTTCCACTCCCTCGTCGTCTCTCCCTCGGTGGAATTCATGTCTCGCTCCCATATCTTCTCGACCACCAGTCCGGCCGAGACGGCCTTTTCAAAGAAGGAGGCTACAATATGTCGACCGGTGTGAAGGCCTGCAACCACCCATGCAATGCCCGCAGCAGGAGTACTGGACGAGGGAGCTAGAAACCAGAGTAAAGTCTGGATCAGGTTCTCGTGCTGGGACGGCATCCATATACAGTCTGCACAAATGATCCGGCTAAACCGTCCCCTGTTGGCAGCCGCAAAGCCAGCCATCTGGTCGAGGAATCTGGTCTCCAGCTCCTCCTCGTCGACGCTGCCGCCCTTGTCCAGGACCCCCCACTGGTACGGCTGGACGGAGATGCGGTGAGAGAGGTGTTTGGGTATGTTCCTGTCGATGTTCGACTGTATCGACCCGTACAGGCTCGGGGCTAGTGGATGATCGGTGACGGTGACGGACTCTGCGCCGGCAAGCACGCTGACGATGGAAGACAGGGCGGTACCTACAATTGCGTTCTCCTGTTAATGAGTTGACAGCAATCTGTCTCTACACACTGCTGCCATGCAGATTTATGTAGATGTTATGCTTTTCTTTGGTTTTGCAGTAGTTGCACTCGCCTGCACCAAGTTCTAGGATATCATGTCCCTTCACGCTCCATACTGAAGCATCATCACCACCATCAGAAGAAGAAGAAAAAGCTCTCTCTATGCCGTCTGTCACCAGCAAGCTCGAGCCCCAGAGAAAGTGAGCAAACAGCGTGCAGGCCTTGTCGACATCTTGTCCTCTCGCCCTCTTCTGCTGCTCTTCTTCTCTTTCTTCCTGCTCCTCCGCCTTGTCCTTATCCAGCGGGTGTATTGGTATCGTCAGGGCGAGGTCTCCAAACGCAGGCGACGAGTAGACGAGCTGCTGCCCTGGCTGGCCGACGCAGGGAGTCGCAGACTCGGGGAAGAGGACGGGCAGGAAGCTGGCAAAGACGTCCTCTGCCTCCTCCTCGTCGTCGCTCCTGAAGCGCGAGAGGAACATCCCGGGTCCTTATTCGTGCGTAGGCAGAGACGAACAGGCTATATCAGCCGTATTATGTATCGTAACTAGTAAAGCAGCTAGCTGTTAGCTGTTAGTCTTGAGATGTTGGTTGAAGCTGAAGTTGAAGTTGAAGTCGAGGTTGATGAAGTTGAAGTTGATCTTCGCCTTCTTCTATGCAACTTCTACAGCCAAACATCTCGCTCTCTACATCCTTCTATCTACATCCTGCCTTTGGTCTTTCTATTCATTCTACATCTTCCTGTCTCTATCTTGCCTGTCGTATTACTTACTTTGATCTACAGCCAAAAATAACCCCCGAAGATCCACCTCGTCGCCATTTTTTATTTTCTTTTCTCTCCACTTTCTGCGTCTTCCTCGACTTCTGCTTCATCTTCGTCTTCATCTACTTCCTTCGTCTTCTACTTCGACCGTCGCCGTCACGAAGAAATGCCTGTCTAGTCCTGCTCGTCCCTGTCGTCCGTCGCCTTGTCGAGATCTTAACTTTGCCCCTGGCGCCGGGCCTTTTTTTTTTTTAAAGGAAGAAAAAAAAAACTACACCTTTTCGCTCCTACAACCAACAACCATCAACCCTCCTCCTCCTCCTCCGCCGCCGCCGCCGCCTCCCTCCCTTCTCCTCCCTCGTCACAGCCCAAGATGGCCTCGTTCAAGGTGCGTACGTCGGCAGAGACACCCTCCAGCGGCCCCGGGATGCTCCAATTCACCATCCGCGGCCGCTGTTGTGGGTGTTTTCCGGGGGGCTTCGTGAAATCCATCGTGGCGAGAACAAAATCACTAACCGAACTCCCTACTTTCTGGCTCTCGTCGACCAGCAGGACTCTTCTTCCTCGCGGCCGCTGCCTCAAGCCATTCCGAACCCTCGCCAGTCCAGCAATGGCCGTACACACTCGCACTCCGTCTCGCTGGGCGCCCTCAACTACAGCCACCGCGTTACTCGACGGAAGAGCATGACCTCGTCCGCCGCCAACAGCAACAGCGCCGCCGCTGCTGCTGCCGCTGCCGCCGTCATCAGCGAGTCTGGCGCCAGCACCGGAGCCCCCATACACACCTCCCACCACCGCCGGGGCCTCAGTCTGCGGCGGGCTGCCGGCCTCGAGTCGACCTCCGCAGGCACGTCGTCCGGGTTCGGGCCCTCCCATGCTGCTAGGAACGGCATGGCTGCAGTCGATCGCAAGCAGGTCCCGGGTTCGTTGAACACCAGTGCCATCACTGAAGAGCTCTCGACGGGAGCACCCACCGGCGGCAGACCGATCAGCATCAAGCACAGAAGCAGGCGGGCTAGTGAGGGCTCGCATCTCATGAAGGGGGAGGGCAAGAGGTCGCTCGTCGAGTTGAAGTGTGACCGCTGCGGGAAGGGGTATAAGCATAGCAGCTGCTTAACCAAGCATATGTGCGTATACCCCGTTTTCCCTTCTTTCATTGCATATGCCTATATGGATTGATATACATATATATGTATCAATTTCTTTTTTGCTCTTGCTTCGTTGCAATGATGTATTGACATATCTGGGGGCATAGGTGGGAACACGACCCGGCATGGGCAGTCACATCAAAGCTCCTCATATCAAAACACCAACAGGTCCAGCTGCTCGAAGCCGCCAGCGTCCTCGTCACCCTCAATGAGCCCGTCTCAGAGGAGCAGGCTGCTCGTGCAGCAGCCAGCGGGAGCGGTGACTCTGACCGTTCGTCAACCTCTCCCACTGTTTCCGGCATATCTGAGCTTCGTGACGGCCTCAGCTCGACCGAGACCACGCCGCCCCCTACCGGTGATGACGGTGCCTTGTCCAAATCCAACGACCCTTACCGCTACCCCAGCAGCCATAGCAGCTATAATAATTATAATCATAATCACTCCTTCTCCCAATCCCTCCAGTCCATTCCGTCAGCCTCCTTCGCCAGCGCAAGCAGCGTTCCTTCCTATTCGCCTGCACGCTCTCACTTCCGCCATTCCAGTACAGATACCAGACCGTCTACCGCAGACACTAACGGTGTCCTCGACGACGATGCCGCCGGTCTCGCTGCTGCAATCGAACTCTGCAACTTCGGCACTCCAAGATCAGGACCCATGGCCATTCCAGAGGAGGTTCCCCCAGTCCCTCCCTTGCCGGCTCGGTTCCTGGGCCAGAGCGTCGGCAGCACAATGGCATTGGCCAACAACCACCCCAATGGCTTCTTTGGAAACAACGGTACCATCTCTGGCCCTTCTAACAGCATGAACTTCTCACACAACAGCGGCAGCAGCGTCTCAGGGGCAACTATAACCGGAAACCTAGCCGCATCCACACCAAGCATCTTTGATGCCTTGCCCATGGCCACACACACGCCTATATCATACCGCGTCTCGGACGAGCGAGACGTCAAGATGGCCGACATAAAACCTGATATCCTTACCCAGCATTCCAACATAAGGAACGACAGCACCAGTCCAGCCAACCATCAGCAGTCAGGCTCTCAAGACGGCGAGTCAGACCGTGGCTCGCCATCCTCGGTCGTACACATGGACGACGACGATGACGGCGTCTTCGGCCACATGGAAGAGTGAATTTCTTTCAACCTACTATATCTTGATTCTTTCTACTTCTCTTTTTCCTTCTATTCTCTTCTTGAAAAAACCACCTATTTTCTTTTAACCTATGGCCGGAGGAATGGAATGACTTATATTATTTACTTCGGAAACGAAACGAACGGAAACCCCCTTGGATATTGAACTGTACCCTTTCTTCCCCATCAATTTCCTTATGCAATTTTTCTTGAATCTTGAACTACTTTTTTCTTCCCCTGTTATGTTTTCGTCGGCTCCCTGTTTTTTTTTTTCTCCTTCCTTCTTGCCAATTTTCATAGTTGCTTGCCACCACTTTACATATATATACGAAAGTTCACAAACACATCAACCAACCAATCAACCAACCAACCAATTTTTAAGAGTTTGATTTCTCGCAGGGAAGCGAAATGCGATAAAAGATTTATCCGACTGATCTTAACTCTATCCATCCAATTATTTACCCATGCGGCGTTCTAGTACCTCGTTCATGCACCAACTTACCATATTTTATTTACTATCCCTGCACACATCCCTCTCCCGTTTATTACGGCTTCCCTTCTTCGTGATTCCTTCTACATCGTTTGATTTCACTCGTCCGCCAACCAAGATGCACTTGTTGGCGTTCCCTCGGTACTAGACGTTCATTCGTCAATTGGGTAGCTTTGGCATCTCCTTTTGGCTGATATCAATTCAACCCATACTTTACATGCCCATCTATGGTAACGATGATACTCTGGATCAATTAAACAATTGTAATTCTCCATCACACGCCAAGGTATGGATGCTGCTTTATAGCCTATCTACTGGCGTGACCAGAATAATAAAATATCAAGAAAAGGTAGTAGTTATGATTAACCACAGTAGAAAAGAAGGGAACAGTGAATGACTGAAAAGAAAGCACTGAAAAATAAAGACTCCGAGCTCGTCATATCTCCCATGATTCATAAGAAATGAACATATAAAACCCCCTCCAAGAGCAAGATGCTAAAGAACCAAATCTCGCCCCGTCCTTAAACCCCATACCGATGAACCGAAAATGAAATAGGAATGAAACGAAAAGGAACATAAGTGATTGACTATGTTGTGTTTTTTGCAGTTGTTGCTTTTGGTTTTAGATCTGCTCCTATCGTCGGCCACTTGTGCGTACGATGCCGTCTGGAGGTATCTTGTCTAGCTTCTTGCGGCATTCAGGACAGTACCATTTGGCCAGGCGGCTGGGGACTTCGGGCAGCCCAACGCAGTCAAGATGAAACCACTCCCTCTCGCACTAGATAGAAATGTGTTAGTATGTGATTTTCTATAAGAATGTAGAAGACAAACAAAGGTGTGGTGCCTTGATAGAGAAAGGATCGCGCAAGAAAGGGGAGATAAGTGACAGTAGCGAAAAACGACACACTTAACAAACAAGCAGCAACACTTCGTTCGACGTCACTCACATCATCGTATTCACAGCATATCATGGTTCCAAAGCTCACATCTCCGCAGAGACAATACCGTGGTTCGTTTGGATCAATCTCTTCAACCACGCCATCCTCATCGATACGGATATCCTCGGACTTGGACGATATATTGTTGTCCTTTTGGTCTCTCTTCTTCTTAACTGCCGGTTTGGCTTTCCGTTTGCCTATGCTTACTGCCGAACCCCCGTTCTCTCCGGCAGTTACAGGGCCAGGGGCAGGCCGTTTGCTGCGTCGTCCAGCTGCTGTTACTGCGGCAGTTGTTGTTGCGGTTCCGGTGGCTGTGATGGCTGTTTGGTTATTAGTGATGTCCCTGATGGCTGGAGTTGTGCTCTTACGCCGGAGACGTTCACGGGTGGTAGAATCGATCGATCCGGAGGTAATTGAACGGCGACGGGATGATGTCCTGGCAACAGCGGGAGGAGTAGCGCTGCGTACGACCTTGGAAACACCAGATAAACGGCGGCGAGTCGAGGATTCAACAGCCGATTTTGGTTCAGCAGGGGAAGTCATGGGGGAAGATATCTTGGAGCCTGGCCTGGGTGGAAGGACAGGGAGTTTCAGTGATATGGTAGGCTTAGCAGATTTCTTCATCCCAGCGGGAGGCTGGTTCTCAGCGGCGGGCATTGTGAGCTGTAGCCTTTTGGGAGCAGGTTTGGTCGACGGACTGGCCCCGGCTGATACAGGTCTTGAGCCGCCCTTTTCTTGCCCAGAGGGTACGGCATCAACTAATTCATCTAGTTTTCTCTTCTTAGACGTGCTCGGTTTTGTCTTTAGCTTAGGCGTAGCTGTTGAATCATTAGCTAGAGAGGGAGCATTATGATTATTAGTATTGCCTGAAGATCCAGTGTTTTGAACGCTATCAGGAACAACAGATGGCGCAAATGGAGCGGGTAGTGTGGGAGCCGAAGTCTGTGATGGCTGCGCAGGACTCGAGAACAGATTCTTGAAGGTAGAGCCAATATTTCCAAGACGTTTGGCTGCCATTTCCGCCTCCGCAGCGGCAAGGGCAGCGGCTTGTTCCCGAGCCAGGCTCTCACGCTTCTGCTTCTTTGCTTCGTTGAGTTTCATACCTCGATTGAGAATGGTTTTGCTTTCCTCGTTCCTTAACTGCGGCGGCATTCCAGCACCTTTGAAGGCGGGTATACTAGGGGAATAAGTGTTCATGATATCATCACAATCCACAAAATCGGTGCCTTCCTCCTCGGCCTTTTGTTTGGCAGCCAGATAGCCATCCCAACCACGAGATCCCAGGGCCAGTTCTCGCTGTATCATGACATCGCTAGGCTGCCAGACTATGTTCTTCTTCATCTTTTTCCGTAGTCTTGCCATTTCCCATTCTGTCAATCGTAGCCATGGCCGATACTCACCACCAATTACGGCGTCCTCGGGAGGGGGTTCCAAAATGGGCGCTGGTTTGGCTGCGTCGGCAGCCGACTTGTTTGTAGGCTGTGTCGACTTTTGTTTCTTGGGTTGTTTTTCCTTCTTTGTCTTTTCCAGGACTTGATCCGGATGTAGACCAAAGGATGGGCCGCCCGCTACTGGGCTTTCCAGTAGTGCAACGCCGGCCTTAGAAGTGGCCGGTGGTTTTTGGCTCCTCGACTTTTTCTGTGATGTTGTATCTTGACGACGAGCAGTTCCTGAAGTCTTCTGACCGTCCACTCGAAGGGTGATCCGAGGCGCTGTACCTGTCCCTTCTGCGGTGCCTGGTCTCTTTTCAGTCGTAGCTTCTTCCTCCTTTATCGAGCCTAGATTCGCCAGTATCGTGCATAGCTTAGATTTTATATTCCCGAGACGATCAACGTAGTGGTCCACAAGATCATAGAGACGGCAAGACTCTGCAAAGGCCGATTCACGGGCGTTGACTGCGCGCCGTAGCTGCTCTGATATCTGCTTGCGTAGTATATGCGGCTGCGGGCGAGACTCTGCGGGGAGCCGCCTCAGCAAAGATATTGTCATTGCTTGCGAAAATTCGCCTAATAGTGTCACATATACCGTTCATCGAGGCCGCGAATCAAAGTCAGGGAGCGGACCAGGTCGGAGGGCAGGTACTCGGTGTAGTCAATGAAGTCCGTCACGGTAGCTTGCGCATCAGGATCCGATGGCCCTTCGATGAACAGCTCGCCCAGCGCACTCGACTCCGGCATCTTGCCGTCCTCTTCTTTTCTTCGTCTTCTGTTCGTATTCTTCTTCTCTCGGCTGCGGGGAGAAAGTCGCGCGCGGTTTTCACTGTTAAAGCTGTTGGCGATACATCTGCAGGGGCGAGAAGTGACGTGACAGACTGCCGGTCGATGAACAGAGCTGCAGCTTCAGCTTCGGCCGATTCGCCTGATGCTGCGTATCTCTCTCTCTCTCTCTCTGGATCTTCGCTTTGCCTTGTTTCCGCTTCTTCTTCACTGTCTTCTGCTCTGCTTTGCGCGGTGGCTCCGAGCTGTTTCTTCGCTAATCGCGTCTGGCGGCAAAATCTTCATCCGCCCCGATTAGGAATATTTCGACTTCATCTGCTTCTACGCTGCAAAAACACTGCTCAGCCCGTTGTGAATCTTTGATCGTACACTCAGCTATGAAGTCTCAAGATAATAATACCAGCATATGCTATACAGACAAAAATGGAAAAAGCGGTCTGGTATCTAGACAATGCGCGGTTTACCACCCGAGCTTCACGGTTTCTTCTATCCAATCTGCGCCGTAGTGCCTCCTGAAGTGATGATGGAGATATCCTGCAATCACTCTTCCTACATCCTCCCATTCTCCATCTTCTGCCTCCAGTTTGCTTAGAGGAACGATATCCAAAGCATGGCCAGCCCAGCGGCCCTTACTTGTGTCAGTCCATATGGTCATGGCGAAGACTGCCTCGCTGAAACCGATACCCATAATAAACGGCCCACTGATGTAGCCAGGATGCAAGGCAATGTCAGTAGAGCGGATGTACTGGCGCACCGTCAGACTTCTTAGAACCCATATGTCGCCGGGCTCAGTCTTGTAGAGATTGGCCGGGCAAGGGTTAATGATGGTTAACAGGTCAACCGGGTAGTATGCTCCGGTCCTGATATATGTATTAGCTGGCATACGGAGGTCGGGAGGCAGGCAATCTTTGATTACATCCCTAGTCTTCCCAAAAAACGCCCAGGCCTGATGCACCAGTGTTGAAAGTAATTCTATTGAGGAAATCCGGGGTGGGCGGGGCGGTACAGGGTCTGACGGCTGCACTGGAATACGGTTGGCCTCTTCGTTAAGTCTGAATGCTAATGGCTGCAGAATTTGGCTCACCGTCGAGCCATTGCCGTTTGCATAAATTGAATCGATATCATCCTCTAGAGCCGAATGAGCACCGTTTGAATGACCTTGATTAATCCCATTTTGCCGTCTTGAGCGCAACCTATCAGCCCGCCGTCGCATCCGTTCCGGCAGCCTCCCAGTATGTCTGTATGGTTGTCGAGAATCAGTTTGATTTCCATTTACTTGACTTGGATTATTCCCATTTGGACCTAGGCTTGGGAGCATTCTAGGAATGAACCAATCTTCCCGGTCTGGACCTAAGCCTGGTGGTACTAAAGGAGCAACCCTTCTTGTCGGACTCAATTCTAGGCCTGGGGGTAGCCTTATAGGGCGAGACTCATTTGTCTCGTTCATATGTAGGCTTGGGAGTGGTCTTCTAGGTTGAAGCCCATCTATCTGGCTTTCAACCTCGTTTGAGCTCCTCCCTGGACTGACCCCATTCGTTGGGCTTTGAAAAAGCCGGCTGTGTCCGTTTGCAATGCCGTTTTGCTGGATTCTCGTCGACCTTAAACGGATCCTGGTTCCCCGTGCTCGAAGCAGTGTGTCTATGTTCCGCTCATATTCGTCTCCTTCGGCCGGTTCGTCTGGACGGTAGGTTCCCAGCAGTGTTCTTCCTTCCCCTCCACAGATGATAGGCGTATTAACCCAGGTACCCAGAGAGCTGATACTAAACTTCATGAGGGTAGGCCATGCTGCTGCCCACGCCTCGGAGCAGGTGAGTCCGAAATGAAGAACGTCGATTATATGCATGCCTGTGATAATCATTTGCATGATCTGGAGAGGCAGCATCCTGATTATAGAACGGGGATTCTGTTGGATGGTCTCTGATACTGTTGTCTCATTCTCCGGATCCAAGTCACACATCATAACGCCGGGGCGTGTAGTAAAATTCGGTTTTGCGAGAAGCAGAAAGACTCCAGGGGCGCCTTTGAGCAGCATCATTCCAGTACCCCGTTCTATGTATGGGTGTATTTCTCGAATACGTGGCGCGACGTATAGGAGTTTCTGGCCTCGGCCAATTTCGCTATAGGGAGAGAATTCCATGTTTTCAAGTGCTTGATAACTGATAGCTAATAGCTAATACTGGAGAACGAATGATAGGATATGGTTTAGATGGGAGAATTTACGGGTGGACGAAATTTGTACGGAGAAATCGTTTCTATATGCCGTTAGACCTACGCCTACTGCTGAGCAACGACGACTGAAGCTTCAACAGGACCATAAACTATATGCATGGCAGGAGCGGCTATCTGGATATTTATTTGTTTACATGCTGTATACTTGCACCTGCCAAAGCTGCCAATCTATGTCATATTCGCCACTGAGTAGTAGCTATATAAGAAGTATCAATCGCCGCCGAAAATCCAGTAGTTGGAAACAATTACGAATGCCGGATAAACGGATCGATGGTTCCGACATCCTTGGACTGCGGGAGTTTAACTAGCTAGGCATTACAGTGTAGCCATAGTATACACGGCGTTCTATTTCTCTTGATCGATCCTATCAGCTACTTCTATTGCCTGCAGTGAGGCGTAGAGGGCGTATATTGAGCAGCACGCCGGTGACCAAGACACTTTATACAATTATCCCACCGCCGAGGATATCATAAACAACCCCGCCTACATCCGAGTAACTAGTGACTCCTTCTCGGCAAATCCGGACCAGACGTGTAAGGAGCTGTGCTCAACATTGCATGAACAATGGGCCATCTAGTATGCGTAGCGACCTGTTCACTTCGAAACTGGGCTCTTGACTTCGAAGGAAATACCAAACGCATCATCGAGAGCATCCACAAAGCAAAGGCTGCCGGCGCGACTCTCAGAGTCGGCCCCGAACTTGAAATATGCGGCTACTCGTGCCTCGACCATTTTTTTGAGGCAGATCTATATCTTCATTGCTGGGAGATGCTATGCATCATTCTTAAGGACAGAAGCTGTGATGGTATTCTTCTCGACATAGGTATGCCGGTGATGCACCGCAACAACCGATTCAATTGCCGCGTCATCTGTCTGAACGGAAAGATCTTGCTTATCAGACCGAAGCTGTGGCTTGCTAATGATGGAATATATCGAGAAATGAGACATTTCATACCCTGGGTTGGACCAAGGCATGTCGAGGAATATTACCTGCCTAGGATGGTGAAGAAGATCCAAGGCACGACCAAAGTGCCAATAGGTGATGCGGTGATATCGACGACAGATACGTGTGTTGGTATGGAAACGTGTGAAGAGCTGTTTACGCCGCAGTCCCCTCATAACGATATGAGCTTGAACGGGGTGGAGATTATGACCAATTCGTCCGGGTCCCATCATACGTTGAGAAAGCTTCATGTTCGGGTCAGTCTTATCCTGGAAGCTACGAGGAAGAATGGTGGTATTTACTTATACTCGAACCATTTGGGTTGCGATGGGGATCGTCTTTATTTCGATGGTAGTGCGATGATCATCGTGAATGGAAGTCTGGTTGCACAGGGAAATCAGTTCACGCTTGACGATGTTGATGTTGTCACTGCAGTTATAGACCTGGAGGAAGTTCGGTCGTATCGATGCACCCCGTCTCGAGGCCACCAGGCTATGAAGGCCGGTGTTTATACTCGGGTAGAGACTGAATTTAGCCTCAGCTCCGACATAGGCGACCGCGACACTAGCCTACGGCCTAGCCTGGTGATTGAGCCGCGTTACTACTATCCAGAGGAAGAAATTGCGCTGTCCACGGGCTGCTGGCTATGGGATTACCTCCGACGTTCTGGCACTGCAGGATACCTCTTACCGCTATCCGGAGGAATCGATAGTTGTGCTACGGCAATGACTGTCTTCTCAATGTGTCAGCTTGTCATCGATGCCATCAAGGCGGGAAATGAACAAGTCATCAAGGACTGCAAACGATTAGCGGACTATACACTGGAGCTACCAAACACACCGCAGGAGCTATGCCACCAATTATTCCACACTATATACATGGGCATGTCGAAGCAGTCCTCCAAGGAAACCCGCGAGCGAGCACGGGAACTTTCGAAAGCTATTGGTTCCTATCACATAGATCTAGACATTGATGATGTCTACGAGGCCCAGAAAAACCTGGTTGTTAAATATCTAGATTTCGACCCCAAGTTCAGGAGCCAAGGCGGGACCAACGCGGAGAATCTCATGCTGCAAAATATCCAAGCTCGCAGCCGCATGGTTACCGCGTACGAGTTCGCCCAGCTGCTCCCCACCACCCGCAAGAGGCCACACGGCGGGGCCCTACTTGTTCTAGGATCTGCAAATGTCGGAGAGGCACTTCGCGGCTACTACACTAAATACGACTGTTCTAGCGCTGACATCAACCCTATCGGCGGCCTTGATAAAAGTGACCTCAAACGATTCATTGCATGGGCCGAGAAATCCTACGCCATTCCTTGCCTGCGCGGTTTCCTCGAAGCTACCCCCACAGCCGAGCTCGAACCTATCACCGAACAGTACGTTCAGAGTGATGAGGCAGATATGGGCATGACCTACGATGAACTGACTACCTTTGGTCGACTGCGAAAATGCAACAAACTTGGGCCGTATGGAATGTTCCAGCGCCTTGTGCATGACTGGAACCACCTCACTCCTCAACAGGTGGCTGAGAAGGTCAAGAGGTTCTACCATTATTACGCCATCAATCGGCACAAGATGACGACCCTGACGCCTGCTCTGCACTCCAATGACTACAGTCCTGATGACAATCGGTTTGATTTGAGGCCGTTCCTGTATTTTCCATTTTACCAGTCATGGGGCTTCAAGAAAATTGACGAGGAGCTGGCACATATTAAGAAACAGGCTAAACAGTGAATAATAGGCCATTGTTGGGAGGCGCCATTTGTACAGTTCACAAATTGGAGGGAGCAAAAGAAAGCAGCCGGCCCTGGGTCTCTGGTTCCATGGAAATGTGAATAATTAGTTTTAGACTTCAATACCGGCTCTTGCGAGAGCGCATTCCGGCCATATCTCCCTCTTCTAATCCGCTCGCCCATCTGTACGGGGCACTCCGTATGCGGTTTATGCCTGGTATGGAGTATGAAAGCGACTCCGGCTTCATCCCAAGCTGCGTCGGCCGACGCCTTCGAAACGGCCAAAGAGGGCCAAAAGGACAGGCCCGGCTGTCTAAAAAACCATCACGTGCTCTAGACCGCTGACTCATCTTATTAGTCAACGAACAAGTATCTCCGCCAAGGTCTATTTGATCGTCAACCGTTACTCTTCTCATAATCAAGCACAATGCCCGTCATCCCAGTGAGCCAGGAGGATATCTCACGCATTACTTCATCCAAGGTAAGGATGATCGATATAGCAATATCAGCATTTAAAATGTATTGAATGTATCGGATGCTAAACACGTCTCTTTAAGCCTGGAGGAGAAGATACGAACTCGCAGAAGCAATCCAAGGACGACAAAAATGCGAATGCAACGGATAAAGACCAAAGTCGCAGCAGCGGCCAGCAGAGGCAGGAAAGCCAGCAGGGCCAGAAGTAGTGTATGTCTTGGTTGATCTTAAAAAGGGTTCAAAGATGAAATGAATATCAATCAAATCAATTGATGCAACGCTGGCTTGGATATTCTTTCTTTGTTTGTATATCTTTCTTGTCAGAGATGGTGTTGAGGTAGGAGAGAGAAGTAGAAGTAGGAGATAAGATGGAACAACACGATGAGAAGCAAAAGGAGACAAGGAGACAATAAAAGGGAGGGGAGATCATCACGTCGTGTAAATGTCTTTTTTGGGGGGTCGTAACTTCGTACCATGTCATGCCATGCCATGCCATGCCAGGCCATGCCAGGCCATCTATCTATCAAATGCTCCCCTGGATTTAACCTGCCAACGAACTCCAACATAATATCAAATTACCAGAATCCTCCTCTTGGTGATAGTGGTGATAGTGTGGTGTTAATGTATTACTCAGGGACGATCATGGCATCAATCCTGGTCTGAAACCGTTGAACCATCTGTACAGCGGCCTTTCTACGGTCTCTCAACGGCCGCGACGAACCAACGGTGATTTCATCTGCTCGGGCAAGGACCCGCTCCATTGCCTCGTTTAGTCTGCGCTGCTCCTTGTTTATTAACCGTACATCTGCGGGCGGATGCATGATGAACTCAGTGCACAGCGGTACCAGCTTGCCTGTTACATGTTTCTCGAAGATGGCAAGCATGTCAGCAGGAGAGTGGGATGCTAGGAAGGGAGGGCAAGGGGTAGGCGGCCGGTTAGGCACAACATATGCCTTGTTAGGCTTTGGTTTTTGTTTGGGTTTAGGTTTGGAAGACGGTATGGATGTAGGGGTGGTGACGGAGGGAGGAGTAGATGCCGCTGTAGACGCGGAGGTTGTGGAGGTTGAGTCTGAGGTGTAGGTCGACGAGCTGACTGTGCTGCTGACGGACGGCGAAGGGTGAGAGGTAGCGTATGGCCGTGGCTCCCGGCAGATGTTTGGCAGAGGGTCATAGGTTGGAGGCGGGGAGGGATAGGGGGGTACAGTTGGGTATATGTATGTATATCTTGGGGGAGATGGCGGCCGGGCCTGGCGAGCGTGGGTCTTTTCCCGGGGGGTAATGGTTTCCTTTGGTGTCGCAGGCTCCCTCACTGGCTGCGGCTGCTGCTGCACAGGCTGTACAGGAGAAGGCCGCTGCTTCGACTTCCGTCGGGGCTTTCTATCAGGAGAGACGGGCGAGGGGTCTCTTGGTTTGCGCTCGCGACGGACAGACTTTCGTCGTTCCTGGCGAGCTTGTTTGGGTGGCGAGCGGCCGCGTCGAACTGGCGACGGCTTGTAGTAGTACCTCTCGTCCTCTGATTCATCTTCGTCTAGGACTGGGACTGGGGCTTGGACTTCGACTTTCTGCGGTCGTAACTGCGGTTGTGGTCGGGAGGGAAGAGGAGGAGGGGGCGGCGGCAGGGATGATGATGGTGGCTGCTGCTGCTCCTCTTCGTCTTCGTCTTCGCTGTCCGAGACGGGGATCAATTGAGCCTCCCGCCAGCCGTCGATCATGTTGCTGCTCCCGCCGTACACTCCCTCTGTATATCCGGGCATGACGACTGCGACGACCTCAGAGAACTGCTTCAGGCCCTGCGACTTTGCACTGGCGTCGTCGTTGTTCATCAGGCGGCCCTTGTACATCAGCTTTATCCTGCTGGCGTCTGCGATCTTGAGCGTCTGGCCGGCCAACCGCCGTATATCGCTGACGTGCAACCGGCCATCGTCGACGGAGAAGGCAGGGAACTCGAAGCTCCAGGACTCATTCTGGCATTTGAAGATGAGGATGTCTGGCAGCTCGCCGTCTTCCGGCGAGGGAGCAGCCAGCTGTTGTGCGCGCAGACGGACTTCGGCCGGGTTCATCTTGCTGCTGCTGCTGTTGGTGTTGGTGTTGGTGTTGCTGTAGACGCGAGGGGTAGCGAAGTAGTAGCCGCTGTTGTTGGTGTGATTGCTGCTGGCAGTGCTTGCGCCGCTGATGCTGCTGCCGCCGCCGCCGTAGGAGCCATAGTGGGCTGTGTAGCCGTAGGGGTCGTAGGGGGAGGACGGAGGGGAGGAGTAGTAGGCGGCGTAGTCGGCGTCTAGGGGGCTGTCCCAGAGGCCGCTTCGCCGGTGGCCGCGGCGAGAGGCCATGATGTCTACCCGGACGACGCAGACAGGACTGAGAGAGACAGCGACGAGGAAGACGAGGGAGAAGAGGAGGAGGAAGAGGAGAAAGAAGAAGACGAAGAAGAAAAGGAAGAAGAGAAGAGGAAAAAGCAACGACGCCGACGGGGAAGACGAGATGCTTGCATGGATTGAAGGTGGAAAAGGCGACGCTAGCTGCTGTACATGCAGGCGAGCGAGATGCGAAAGAAGCGCTGGTTGCCAATGAAACAGACGGCGGGACCCAGAGTAGTTAAAGGACGGTTACTAGGACGAGCAGACGCAGCAGAAGAAGCAAAGGACGACGGAGAAGAAGGAAAGAAAGCAGTCAAGGCCGGTGACGGTCACTCTGAATTCAATTATCGACAGTCAAGTAGAGGCGAGACACGTATGAAGCGTTGCATGCATGCCCAGAAGCGAGTCTACAGCGCAAGGGAAAAAGTGAATAATAACACATGTGCGGCTCTGCGGCGGCCGCCCGTTTCAGGGTGTGGGCTTTGTCTATATATTAACACAGGGGAAAGAGAGAGGAAGCAGAAGTAGAAGAAGAAGAGGACGCCTTGCAAATGCAGAGTTTGTTAGCATGATCGCCAGAGAGAAAGAGAAAAGGAAAGGAACCTCGAATAGAAGGAGATGAAGAAGGAGAAGGAGAAGGAGAAGCAGCTAGAGCCGCACTCCACCGGAGCCACCGCCGAACCATCTGGCAAAGGCAGATGAGTCGGTGGATGGAGAGGACGAGGAAGGGCCAGGCCCGGCCTCGTCATCGGTGCCGCCCATCCATCGAGGCCGCTTGAAGCCTGCGTCGACATCCTGGAGCCACTTGGGCGTGCTGGCGGTGTCGATGGTGTTGCGTACGCGGTGGGCAAACGACTGGAAGAACCCCTCGTCTTCGTCGTCGTCCTCGTCTGCCGGCCGTGTAGTAGAAATAGAGGTAGAATTAGAGATGGGATTGATATTAGTATTGGTAGAAGCGCGTGCTGCTGGAGTAGTGGTAGCGGCGGCGGTGGTGCTGGACGGCGGTGCATCTCTGTAACGTGGTAAGGTGTCTGGTATGGTGCCCCCGTGGGCGGCCCTGGGAGTTCTCGTGCTGGACAGGCCGAGATACCCTGGCCCGTTCAACTCGGTTTCGACCAGGGAACGGCCCTCCCGCCACCCGCCGGTTCCAAAACCGGACGGGTTGTCCTCCTCTTCCTCGTCGTTGATCTCCATGTCTCCCAGGCCAATCAGCCCCTTGACTTTGCCGTAGAGGTTGAACATCGTGGCAGCAACAGGCAGGAGGATGAAGAGTGGGAAGAACAGGTCGAATCCCTCTCCAAGGAGGGTCAGGTTGATTCCTTTACCCAAAAAGTCGTAGAAGGTCGTTCGTAGCTGGAGGTCTCTGGGCAAGAGAGTGAGGAAGTTGTAGGCCAGAGGGACGGTGAGACGGGCGACCTGGCCGGCGTACCAGCAGGCAGACTCAGGGTAAGTGTTGCGAGGAACGAGAGCCCGGTTGCCCCATACCTGAGCGTCTGAGATGCCTGTCCCAGCGGCAGCACAGAGGTAGAGCAGCCAGACAGAGGTAAGAAGCTGGGAAGGGAAGCCGACGGGCCCAGACGAGGGAGTGGTG